AAGCAAATTCCTTTTTTTTTTTTTAATGTCATTTGCAAAACTGAGAGATATCTTAAGCCTCCCCCCTGCCCATGATGGAGGTATTGCTGGTGAATTATTTATCTCATTATAGGAAGCAAGAGCGTTTTGTGATGGAGAAAAATTGGGGATGGGGATTCCATGCCCTCTCTCCACTACTTTTTGAAAAATGTTAACATAAGAGGATTTCCCCCTTTCACTTCTGAATTTTGGGTAAGCTTCTTCTGTTCCCTAGAGGAGACCTTTGATAGAGCTTATTTAAAAATATTGATGTCACATGATGCTACTGCTGAGATATGGATCACCCCAAAGGGGCAGCTGAGTATATTTGTATCCAGGTTTATGCCTAAATAAGGAGCTGGAAAGGTTACATTTGCAAACATCAAGCCGATTCACTCGCTGTTAATTACTGGCACCTGCAGCGGAAATCACTTTTCTTCAAAATGAAACATTTCAGAGCATTCTTTTTTCCCCATCTTTTTTCCCCTTCTCTGCCTAACATATGCATTTCCCAACTGTAATTCAAAACACCTTTTTCATGCAATGCACAGCAAAAGAGGAGGTGGTGGCTGCGGTGATGGGGACTGGAGTTTTCTTTCCTATTTATCCTAAAGTTGGAAATGACTTCCCAAGCTGTAGTTATTTTTGAGTCTCCATGTACTCAATAACAACACCGGTGCTGCCTGGTAATAAGGCAGCAGGTAAACAGCATCAACATATGTCACTGTTTGTAATATGTTGCCTCTCCTGCCAGCCTGTGGCCAGAATATCCAGTCCCATGTTGGGGATTCACTTGACAGTTTTATTGTTTGACTTTTATAATAATGGGCTTGTGATTGGACTGGAAGGCTGTGAAGTACCTTATGACACCTGGTAGCAAAGGGGGGGGGGAATGTGAAGTCTGGATGGAGATAAAGTGCTTGGTTTCAAAATGAAAACAAATAGGTGTGTGCTAGGTTTATGAGTTAGGACCTTATCACACGGGGTCCAAAGCAGAATGAATCCAA